TATTATCAAATTTAAACTTTAGAAATGGGTCAAACTTCTATGATGACTGTGATTAAGTGTTGTGGAGGAAACAAATTAAAATGCAAAATTTATGTAAGTAGAAATATTTGGAGAGTAATTTCAATTATACATGCAAGTACAAATTGCTGTGCTGGCTGACTGGTTAACTTGTCTTTATTTAAAGGTTTGTTGCCCTCTAGTGGATTAAATCGGTATGTCAAGAAAACTATAAAACAGCAAATTTGAGAGAAAGATCATAAAATGATTTCAAGTATTTTTGTTTCACCTGGCAAACCCCAGCATGTGGCAAAAAGATTTCCCATTCATTGTCTAATGGACAAGCCCCTCTCCAACTTTCAGACAGTTACTGTTAAACTACTCCCTTTGCTGTTTTCATAGTATTTTTCATGATATTTGTAACCCAGTTATATCTCTCTACTGCCTTACAGTATGGTGAATTCATGTTTTATGGATACATGAACAACACATCAAGAATGTGCAAATTCTAAAGTGAGGAAAACATGATGATAAACTTGAGAACAATTTTATATGTGATATCTCTTGCAATTAATCTTCCTAATTTTACTGGCAAGGATGATGAAACAATTAATACATTTCAGCTCCAATGAAGAAGCCATATTCCAATATAATAAGCTTTATGTAGTCACTTAGTTATCAATTATTTATTAATCAGCTGTTCAATACCAGGTGTTGGGATAATAAAAGTGCTGCACAAAATAGTCAAGGTTCCTTACCTGACCACTAGATTTAAAGTCTAGTAGAAGAGACATACATCAAACAACAAAAAACTTTTTTTGTGGCAAGTTGTATAAAGGAAATGTACATAATGCCATGAGAAAATGTAACAAAAGGACAGAGCAAGTCTTAATTTGGGGGGATGGTAGAGAAAGGATAGTTAGGAAAATGATAATTTCTCAATTGTATTTTCTCTTAAAGTCATCAAAGATGATTTTAAAGATTATCTTTAAAATATTTTAAGTGTTATTTTTAAAAATATGAAAATCAAATATAATACTAAGGGTAGTAAAGACAAGCTTGGTTTCTCTCAATCTCTCGAATAAAAAGTAAAAGCAAGGAGGTTGAGACAGAAAGAAAGGGAGAAAAGCATAAGGGACATCAAGTGAATCAAATATTTAATGAACTCAGGCTAATACAGCTAATGCATCATTTATCACTACTGTTGGTTCTGTCAATGGGCCTAGGTACAGTTCATTGATTTTAACCCCTACATTCTATGTTCATATTTGCCAAGTGGACTTCAAATGTTTGTGCATCAAATCACTTGGAGTGTTTGAAAGAACACAGATTTTTGGGCACCTACTCTAGAGTTTGATTCAGTTATTCTAAGTTCAAGAATTTGCATGTATCACAAATTGCCAAGTAATGCCCACACTTGAAAAACACTGGCCTGGCCATCAAGGCCACTGTGATTTTGTGGTTATAGTTAAATTGAAAAGCCTGAGAACATTTTAGCTGCTTCCTGTTACTCTGTAATTCCTTGCTCTATTATCTAACACCTTTTCAGCTTAACTACCTCACTACTAAGGTCTTAGAAGGCACCTTAGTAGTCTATGAAAATCCCTACCAACATACGCACATATATTTTTTTTCTTTTTATGATCAGACTGGAAACTTTAATATAACTCTTAAATGTTTGATCACAGAGAAAATAATTTAAGAATTTACTGTGAATTGGCTTATGAGGAAGGTGGTGAAGATTAGAAGTCCAAGATATGGGTCCTATTTTAAGAAAGTTACAGTCTAGCTGGGCTTGTATCTTTTGAATGCTTTACAATGGCGGATCCAGATGTGGTATCTGTGCTTTTTAATAAGTAATTTACCAGTCTTCAAGTGAATGAGTTTGCTCAAGTTTCATACTTGTGTGTGTGTGTGTGTGTGTGTGTGTTTTTAAAGATTTATTTATTTATGTATACAGAGTTGGCTTACCGGCCAAAGGTGCAGGGGTGGTAAGAAGATTCACCAGAGACACAGTGGGGAGCAGAACAGGCCAACTGACTAAGTACACTGCTGAGGGGAGCAGCAGGCGGGTCAGGAGAGGTCTGCCGTGCCATGTGGATCACCTCCGGGGTGGGGATCTAACTTATGCTGAAGTGGCTTTACCTTCTTAGTGCTGTGCTTTAACCCACTGTGCCACCAGGGAGGGCCATACTTGTGCTTGTTTTAAGACTCTTGCCAAAGGATGAAGTCAGTCTTAACTTTAAAAAGCTAATCCCTCAAAATAAAAATGAGCAAAGGATCTGAATAGACATTTCTCCCAAGATATAAATGGTCACTGGTACATGAAAAGATGGTCATCACCACTAGTTATTAGGGAAATGCAAATTAAAGCCATAATGAGACATTATGTTAGAATGACAATTATCAAAAAGAAAAAAAAATGCTACTGAGGATATTGAGAAAAAGGCAATTTTGATAGGAATATAAATTGATACTGATGCTATGGGAAAAGTATTAAGATTCCTCAAAAAGTTAAGAATAGAAATAACATATGATTCAGGCAATCCATTTATCTGAAGAATAGGAAAACACTAATTCAAAAAGATATATGCAGCATTATTTACAACAACCACAACATGGAAACAAATGTTCACTGACAGGTGAAAAGTATTGACATAGACTGCTCATATAATGGAACACTTCTGGTTATAAAAAACAGATGACATTTTACTATTTTGATGACATAAATAGATCTTGAGAGCATTAAGCTAAGCGAAATTAAGTCAGCTAAGCGAAATTAAGTCAGACTGAATAGACAAATACTGTATGATTTCACTCATATGTGCCTGTCTGTGGCAATGCAGGTGCCTCTCTTTTTTTTTCTCCTTTCCCCAGTAAACTTAGTGCTGTGCTTTAACTCGCTGCGCCACCAAAGAGGGCCATACTTGTGTTTGTTTAAAATGTGAGGGAAAAAAGCAAACTACAACAATATAAAGAACCAAATAAACAAAAACTACCTAGCCCACATCAGCAACCTAAAAACTCTTGGATGCAAGGAAAAGACTGGTGGTAACGAGGGGAAAGGAGTAGTATAGTGAAATGGGTAAAAGGTATCAATTATATGGTGATATGTAAACTAGACTTTTGGTGGTGATTACAATAAGATGTATACAAATATCAAAATATAATGGTGGGTACCCAAAATTGATGATATAAACCAGTGTTACCTCAATAAAACAAAAACTAGCCCCCAGTTTACATAATATATTACCAACTTCTCCCTCTTCATTCTTTTCCAGATAACTAGAAGTCATCCTTCATTTTTTCCCCCCATCATACAACCATCAGTAAGGTTTTAAATCTATTTCTGTATCTAGAAACCACCACTCACTACCCCTTCTATGAACTTCATAAATCCTGCAAATTTAGACTACCGTCACCTCCTGCTTACCACTGTATAAGCCTCCTAACTGTGTGTCTGTCTGGTCCTTTAACTTCCCTTTCTAAATATGTTCCAGCAGGACTGGTCTCTTCTTTTCTGCATACTAAGAATACCAAACCCCTTTCTGCTTCAGGTCTTTGAATATCCTACTCAATTATTTGGAATGATCTTCCTTTCCTCTGTTGCCTGGATCATCCTCATCATTTAGACCTCAGTTTCTGGAGTGAGCTCAAAGAGGCTTTTCCTGATCAACCTAACTAAAATAGTTTTCCCCTTTTAATCTTCTTAAGTCCATCCACAAAAGGTTTAAGTTTCATTTAGTATAGGAATCTGATTATATCACCCATCACTACAATTCTTGAACTTAGTAGTTCATGGGCAGAAAAAAGAAGCACTTAAAAACTATCTGTAGAATGAATTAAATAAGTACTGGATAATTTGTTAACCAAACTTGAAAAGGCCTTCCTGACTTAAAAGACTGAGACCAAAGGAATAAGTAAGAATTAGCAGGCTTGGAAATGGGGTTAGAATAGGTCCTGAGGAAGGAGGATGGGGTATTTGAGAATTCAAAAAGACATCCTGTAGGGTTGGTGCCTAGGATTAGAGTGGTGAAACACTGCTGGAGAGCCCAGAAGGGTCTCTATAAACTACTTGAAGTTTAGATTTAATCCGCAGGGCCAACAGCAGTGACTGACAGGTTTTTAATGGACTGCCCTAGACAGCCCGGCAATGTGGAGAGTGGCTGAGATGAAGAGACAGAAAAGAGAACCAGCTGGAAGGCTATTGTCCACAGCTCTGTAGCAATCATGGTGCTGGGCCAAAGTAATGACAAGAAGTGTGGCACGTGGGCCCTCCCTGGTGGCACAGTGGGTTAAAGCACAGCACTAAGAAGCTAAAGCCACCTCTGCACGAGTTCGATTCCTGCCTGCCCGGGAGGTGATCCACCAGGCATGGCAGACCTCTCCTGACCTCCCGCTGCTCCCCTCAGCAGTTCTGTTCCCCACTGTCTCTGGTGAATCCTCTCACGGCCCCTGCACCTCTGGCCTGCACTCCAGCTCTGTATGCATAAATAAATAAATCTTAAAAAAAAATAGATGGCACGAAATACAAGAGGCGGAGAGATTCATAAAACTGGATGAAACTGTGCGATAAGGAACTTAACGATTTTAATGGTTTGAGCACACCGCTCACTTACGTACTTTTCCCTCTGGACAGCTAATCAGCTTGGAAAAGACATTTTCCTACTGCGCACTATACAGAGCAGCCAGCGCTCCGCTCACCTCCCAAGCCAGAGCTGCGCCTTTCCCTTTCCCTACTTCCATTTCTGGTTCCAGAAGCGCACCACCGCCAGCCAGATGGCATCTGTAGCGTTCAATAAACGCGACCGCAAAAGCACTAAATGTAAAATTGTACTGTAAGTTTTCCTCGGTCACTACGTTATCTGACTAAGCTGTACAATTACTCTGCTAGCCTCCTGACTGCCGTCCCAGACAAGGAGACGGACTCCCGAAAACACTCAGCTCAGCGCTGCATAGGCCCTAACAACGTTAAAGCTTTGTTACGAAGCCCACAACCTTACCCGAGGCAAGAGGCCGGTACCGGGGCCCCGGCAGCAGCACCCCGCGCAGGGGCAGGTAAACACCGCCAGTCGAATCTCCCGCGTCTTCTTCCGCCGGAAGTGACCCGTTGCGCATGCGCCCTCAGCGACTCAGGCGAAGGCGCCGCAGAGGTGGCGATGAATCGCAATTGCCTCCGGGCTTTCGGGGACGACCGTTTTCGTCTTACCGGGTGTAGTGATAGGGTTTGACGAATGTCCTTCCCCAACTGGTGGAACTGTAGTACAGCCAGTCAAGTAGGTTTTGGGGTAGCGCTGAGCCAACTGGGCGCAGGAACCCCAGGAAGGGGTGGGAGTGGCGGGGAATGCCCCTGGGACTGAAGTTCCGCCGGGTGACCGGAAAGAGGAGTGGAAGCTGGTTGCCTGGAAGACCTGAGAAGGGGTCTTTGTCCGAGGGGGATGGAATCACCCGGGGTGGCTGGAGAAAAGGAGGCGGGGCCTGAAACGGGTTACCTGGTGCCGAGGAAGAAAGGGGTCACAATCCGAAAGAAGGGGCCGGGACCCCCACGGAATTAGGGAGCTAAGTGAGCTACGGGTGATCTCCGTTAAGTGATGAGTTGGGCAACACAGTAAGGGATGTGCGCGCGCATCCCAGATTTGGGGTGATCTACGGACCGAGTAGCATAAGGAATAACCTGACTAGGCTGGAAGTGGCGTGCAGAATCTGACCGAGCTGCCTGCGAAGCAAGCGAGCTTCACTTCCCTTTCTGTGAGTGATCCTTATGCAAGCGCCCCACTTCTCCGAGCCTCTTACGTGGGAATGACAGTCATAGGACACAAGAGAGCTGTAATGTTTGACTTAGATGAGACGATGAATATGTCACCTAGACTACAGTGACATGTGAATGGTAGCTGTTATTGTTACCATTACTTTCGAATTTGTGGAGGGCAAGTGGCTTGGCAACTGAATTGAGGCGAACGCGGCAGGGTTTAGGCGGTGACAAAGGCGGAGCTAGAAGGTGACCTGGCGGAAAAAGGGGGCTGGGGGCGATAGAATTCAGGTTGGGGTTCGGCGGTCAGTAAGAAGGGGCTTGGAGTGTGATCCCAACGAAGATGGACTCTGAAAGAGATGGAACGAAAGGGGAATGAAGCGTGGCGGCGCGCTCAAGGGAGGGGGCTGGATGCCTTGTGTGTTGCGAGTTTAACTACGGCTAGACGCTGGGAGGGGGACGGGTGACTTTGGGATTCCCCGGGGTGGAGCCTGTAGGTGGTGGGCGGAACCGCCTACTGTAAACTGCTCTGGCAGCGTGCTTCTGCTGATTTCTGTTCCACCCGCGCTGCAGCCGCCAGCCTAGCTATGGGGTACTGCGCCCTCCAGCTTCTGGTTTTCCTGACCCTCGGGGCCGCTCTCCGCGTTTCGCCGGCCTTGAGAGCCCTCAACAGTCTGCACTTGTCAACTAGCTCCACTTCGTTCCACTCTGTACCCAAGAAGTATTCGATTCACTACTTCCAACAGAAGGTAAGGGTGGGTGGGTGGACGTGGAGGGGCAGGCTGGGGGCTTCGCGGTCCCGGGACCAACCGACAGGGTTCCAGGCACAAGAGCTCACTCCGAACTCTTGACTCCCAATGCCTGGGACCTGAACTGTCAATCTTTAGCTTATACTTTTCACAAGGTAGCCCCAAGTGCCAGTTCTGTTTAAAAATCTCTCTTTCCACTATCAATAATTTATAATCAGTCCTGGCTCCACATACACTTCCATAATCGATCTCAACAGTCACTTCAGCCCTTTATGTTCTAAGAGGAAGGCCTTAATTTAAATTCCTTTTACCTTCCACCAAATTAAAATGTATTTAGTGCGGACTCTGGCCACTATTCCATGGCAGCAGTCATCCTTTGTACTAAATATAAAGTTCCAGTGTCTTATTAAACACTTACTAATATTTATTTTGCCTAAATGCCAGACTGTTATCTCATGCTCAGCTCAAAGGTGATTTTGCACCCTCTTAAATAATTGAAGTATAATCGACATATTTTGTATTAGTTTGATATTTTGTATAGTGATTTGATATTTGAATGTATTATAAAATGATCACCACAAAAAGTCTAGTTAAATCATCATATGTAGTTACATTTTTTTATCATGACAATTGTTAAGATTTATTTTGTTTTTTAATCCCCACCATATTCCTTATTTTCTTGTACCCCTCTCTCCACCTCCCTCTTAACCTCAGAGCCATCTTGTTACTTACTGATGTCCACTAGTTTTTCTTAAAGTATTTTACTTTTTTCAAATAGTTTGTTATACACACACATACGTACATACATATATATAGAATGTTCAGTGTTTGCTGTTGTTATTTGACTTTACTACACGTGATTCCCAAACTTCCTTCGTTTGCTGAAAATGACTGTATTTCACCTTTCCTTATGGCTGAATACTGTGGATATACCACATCTTCTTGATCCAGTCATCTACTGATAGACACTTAAGTCATTTCCATGTGCTAGTTATTGTAAATAATGCTGCTATAAACATTGTAGTTTTTTGTGTTAATTATTTCCTTTTCATTGTATTGATGCCCATAGTTGTATTGCTGTGTATTTTTATCATAGCAGCTTTTAGATATGTAATACTATCAATATATTATTGACTGTAGTTGCCATGCTGTACACTATTACCACATGACTTATTTAAATGCACTGCAATTTGTAACTTGGCCCTTTCATGTCTACCCCACCCAATCAATATGTTCTGTTTCTATGAGTTTGGTTTTTGTTATGATGCACAAATAAGTGAGGTCATGCCATATGTATTTGTGCCTTTCTTTGCCTGACTTCATTTAGCATAATACCCTCAAGGGTTCATCCATATGGTTGCAGAAGATTTTGTTCTTTTTTATGGCTGAAGACTACTCCATCGTATGTGTGTTGTGTGTGAACTATATATATATAAATAACTATCCATTTGATGGAGACTTAGGTTATTTCCTTATCTTGATTATTGTAAACAATACTGCAGTGAAATGGGGGTGCATGTTTAGAGTTAGTGTTTTTACTTTTTACTTTTTTTTTTTTTTTGAGTAAATACAGGAAGTGGAATTGCTGGATCATGTGATAGTTCCTTTTTAGTTTTGTTGAAGAATCTTCAAACCGTTTTCCATAATGGCTGTACATTCCTACCAGCAGTGTGCAAATGTTCCTTTTTCCACTATATTTTTGCCAACACTAGTTACTCTTGTCTTTTTGATAACAACCATTCTAGGGGGTGTGAAGTTTTATCTGAATTTTTTGATTTGCATTTCCATAATAATTAGTGATGATGAAACACCTTTTCATATACCTTTTGCCCACTGCTATGTTTTTGGTGTGTTTTTTTTTCCCCGAACAATGTCTATTCACTTTCTGACCATTTTTAAATCAATTTTTTTACTATTACATTCTATGAATTCTTTTTATGTTTTGGCTATTAATATTTTACATATATTTGATTTACAAATTCTTTGTCACATTCAGTTGCTTGCTTTTTCATTTTTTTGACTTTTTGCTTTTGTTGGCTTTACTTTTTGTGTCAGATCCAAAACATTATTGCTCAAAAAATGTTGACTGATATCAATGAGCATATCATCGATGTTTTTGTTTGGAAGTTTAGTGGTTTCACATCTGTACATAAGACTGATCATATATGTAGCCCAAGCTTGTAAAGCAAGCTGTAGGAGTATGCCAAGATCATATGGAATTAACAGTGTTATAGTTCTGAAGTTTGAGTTTGGAAGTATAAGGTAGACTTGTGTTTGGCCATTGCATGAGGCATTTCCAAAGAAGCCTATGTGGAAAAATCAAAATAGAAAAGCAAACGAACACTATTTCTGACTTCATTTACTCAGTTTTATTAAGTGCCTGAAAATAGCGCAGGGGAAAGAGTGTGCACATGTATTCAAGGCGTGGTGAAGTGCAAGTACCAAATCCCCAGGGTGTATATATGTGCCTGGGAGGAGCAATTGCAAATCAGTATCAGTGGCAGTTGTTCCTGAGGGAGAGATTAGTAGGCAGGGAATGAGGACAGTAAGGAGGAGATAGGAACTACTAATAATCTCCACTGCCAGAGAAAGAAAGTAAATGGATTAAGGAAGAGTTTAATTGTAGGGCAATTTTGAAGTCCCATGCAGGTTATTAAGACCACTTGATGAGGTTACATTTAGTTTCTTGAATGTGAGTATAGAATTGGTGAAGACTTTTTTTTTAATCAGGAGTAACCTTTTGCCAAATGTGTAAAACAGAAAGAGACATGGAGACCTGGTATGTATGCAAGGAAGTAATTATACTGATGGCCCTTAGGATTTATACCTAATAAGAAGAGAAGTGAGGAGATAGGGTAAGGGTCAGTGAAAAGGTAGAATATATGAGATTGAAGGATTGGGGAGTCATAGTAGTAGAGGGATGAGCTGGAAAGATAAGAGGAAGTAGAATGCTTGAAATTGAGGTATGGTGGTGTTGGCATGAAGGCTGAGAGGTACCCTGGGGCCCAGATTTTCATGGTCTGCATCTACTGTATAAAGGTAAAGCATATTCTTATGCTTTATTCTTATGCATATTCTTAGGTGTATAAGATCTAATAGAAAATAATTTTATTAGGATTTTGAGCACAGAAAAGGAAGGAAAGAAAGGATATGGTTTCCCAAGGTAACAGCTGAGTAATATTCCATTGTATAAATATATCACAACTTTTTGACCCATTCATCTGTTTGGGGCATTTAGGTTGTATCCATATCTTAGCTATTTAAATAGTGCTGCAGTAAATATAGGAGTGCAGGTTTCTTTTAGAATTAGAGTTTTTGTATCGTTTGGGTATATTCCCAGGAGTAGAATGACTAGATCATATGGTAGATCCATTTTTTGTTTTGAGGAACCTGTCCATGGTGGTTGGAGTTGTTTGCTTTCCCACCAACAGTGTAAAAAGGTTTTTTTTTTTTTTTTTAAATTTCTACATCCTCTCCACAATTTGTTGCTGCCAGCTTTTTTGATGTGTGCCATTCTTAATGGAGTGAAGTGGTATCTCATTGTGGTTTATTTGAATTTCCCTGATAACTGAAGTTGTTGAACATTTTTAATATGCCTGTTGGCCATTCTCCTTTCTTCTTTGGAGAAGTGTCTTTTTAGTTTTTTTGCCCATTTTTGACTGGAATATTACTCAGTGATTAAAAAAGCAAACAAACCAATGCCCTTTCTGGCAACATGGATTGAAGTGGAAGGGATTATGGTAGCAAAGTTAGCCAGATGAAAAAAGATAAATACTGGATGGTCTCATATGTGGACTATAGAGAAAACAAAGGGTTAAGACAAATATCAAAACTGGCAAGCTGATCATGAATTGAATTATATAGCAAAGGGGGAGCGGGGAGGCAGAGGATGCAAAAACAGGTGAGGGAAGAACACAAGGGAATATGGTGATGGTTGTCGGGTGACAAGGTGGTGGGAGAACTATGGGGACTACAATGATTTAAGAAAAAAGTTTAGTAAAAAAATAAAAAATAAATATATTTAGGTAACGACTCCCATATCAGCCTCACTCATGTCTCATCCCAGTGTCTTCATGTCCTCCAAGTCCCGGGTGCAAGCCCAAGAAGCAAGCAAGCCTCTCTGCTCCATGTATCTCCTTCAAGCTTTCCTGTTTCTGTAAGAATCTGTCTTGCGAGGTTCTATATTTTCATTTGGGTTCTCAGTTCCACCTCTCTATAGGTGGGGCAGAGAATACAAAACCTCTCCTTTCTTTGGACATTACTTTCTAATAGTGGGAATGACAATATGTGGAGATTTGATTAGAGAAGAGAAAAAGGATTAAGGGGACTGGATATTAAAATCACCAAGAATTATGAAAAGATTTGTGTCTTGCAATGCCATTGAACAAGGAACTAAAATCTCTAAGGAATGAGGAAAATGAATCAGGAGTCAGTTGATGGTTATATCAAAAGGGATAATGTAATGTTACAGTGTGATAACATAACTACTTGGGGAAAAGGGAGGGAGAATTAAGAACAGGGGAGCAACTATTCCAGCTGCAAGGACTAGTGGTAGGAAAGGTTTGAGAGAGAAATTAGCTACCACTTGGGTGGGTCAAAAGATTTTTATACTGGGGCGGGGTGGGGGTGGGTTGGTGGTGGTGGCGTTGGGACTGAGGGTATGTGCGAGAGAGTTTGAGAGAGGAAGAGAAGGAAACCTGAATAGTGGTCTCATCTTTAAACACAATTTTGAGAATTAATAATACAAATCTTCTGTTTAATAAGGTGCTACCATTTCACAGGATGAAAATTTAATTTGTTTAATTATCTTTATGAGAAGTCTGGCTGTTTAATCCATGATCATAAATTTATTTTGCCATCTAAGAGGAAATAAGCAGTCCTTGTAAATTGGATTTATAATTTTCAGCATATGAAATGAGAAAAATGATACCACAAATTATTTAGTGTTCTTAATAAGATATCCAACATAATCATGTTATATTTCTGTAATATACATCTTT